AACGGTAGGTGATGCAATTCGAAATAAATCAAATCAATGTATTTGCATACCTTAACTGCATTCATCAAAGTTCCGAATACATTATGTTGTTACCTGTATTATTCCGTCGCCGACTGAACCAGACTCATCGATCTCTATTGGCATATAGGCTGCTGCGTGGATGCTTCGATGGTGCCTGTGTTTCAGTTGAATATTATTCATGTATAGTAGTTAGCAGTAGAATCCAGGACGTGCATTTCGTCTTATTTGGAATTTGCCAGCTAGATATACCTGCCTTCCGGTTGGCGATATTGATCTTACCAACCATAATCGTCTAGTGGCCTAGTGAATAACACTGTGGTGTTTCGAGTGATCGGTTCCATGTTTGAGTCTTAGAGGTAACAACATCGCTCACTGGAGGCAGCTACATCCAACTGACGAGTCCTAAATGGGACGAAATGCGCATCCCTAATCCCACTGCTAGCCACTGTCCATTATTAATATTCCGAGTACATTGTTGATATTCTCTTATCAACGCTCTCTTTTTCTCGTTTATTTTCAAATGGATTTATTTGTGTACTGTTCGGAAATATGTCAACTTGAACTTATGCTCTTTTACGCAAGGCTTCATGTTGATCTGTTCATTTCTCTTGCTAAAGTACAAAGCTTGTCAGTTTGAATTTAATGACTAATAACATTTTGTTATGATGTGACGCTTTTGAGATCTTACTCAATCGCTTTCTGGTGTCGACGTCTAGACTGGCTTTTCTTTTCACTGTGATTCTCCTACTGAATGTTTGGAATACCATTGTGAAACTTGCGCACATTTCTGCACGCCTCAGTGCAACTTACATTGCAACTTACAAAGTGAACGAAAACCTACTGATACCTAGTCGTCACACTGACTCTAAGTAATGTCCGCTTTTAAGCATAAAGCCTGTTGACTGGTATTACCAATAATCCTTTGTTTAAAAATGAACCGCATACGGTGAACAGAAACGGCATGAGGATTTAGCGAAGAATTCACCAAGCTTTCATTTGAAGATCTCTGTGATAGGATAAAAAGGATATGTATAACTCAGTTGTCTAGGAAATGAATTTTTCTACTTACGTCAGTTTTTCGTTTTTAATAGAAACGATAATTCATGCTTCATTTCTATCCGTGAAAACATAGTAGAAAGCTGTTACATTTTCACTGTAACAGTTTAAATGTACATTATTTTTACTAGTCAACAACTGAAATGTTCTCCTTTTGGGATACACCTTTTTGTCTGCTTAGAAACGAAAGTGGAAAATACAACCCATCATCACCTATCCCTCCAGTTCTATTATAAATAATTCCTGTGAGCATTTGTAAGTGTGCTTGTGAATGATGATGATTATAATGATGATCATGATACTATGCTCGGGTGCCGTGACCAAAGTAATAAATAAACAAAGAAAATTGAAAATATTTATTTATTTTTATTTATTTGTTTGCTTTTTTTTCAAAAGGAAAACGATTTATTTTTGCAGGTAGAAAAATAAAATGATCATGGTATGAGAGTGATAAGAAAAACTTTCTATGGGCGTAGTCGCAAATATTTTCGAGAGATTACTAAATAACACTATCGTGAACAATTATAATCATAATGATAATGATAAGTGGGAGTTCCAAGCGTGTTTCACTACTTCGCTTTTAAATTGAAAATACTGAAAGCACTGAAAATTTAACGCTCGAATGTAGAATGACAATACTTCATATTCAATCTATGGATTTATACCTTAGTGTGAATTTTTATTCACATCAGCTTGAACATGATAACTGTGATGTTGAAGCTGGAGGTAGGAAGATATGATTCTGTTCTCTATGTCACAATCAAATGTTTTGCTTTTTGGTACATTTAACATTCCTCTTACTTCATGACGGTCACTATCAGTCAGATCTAATATAAAAATTGTCTTGATTTTTCAACATAGATAAGAAATATACGCAGTAATCATTTAGTGTTTATTCAGTAACACTGATGTCTTCTTTATATGCAGAACCGTATCATGGAACGCATCATTTTGCACCAGATTATCATGTAAATGTAATAATGATTTCTAGATTACTTTGCATAATTATTTATTTTCATAAACAAGAATTTGAAAAATATTTTTGTTATTGCCCTAGCCAAAATAATTACTTTCCAGTGAAACTGATAATATCTAGAGAGCAGTTGGAAAACAAAAAGCCTTGATTAAGTCTTTCACATAGGATTTTAAACCTTCAGAAGATGAATTTAAATAATGCAGTGAAATGGATGACCGGTGATTCTAACTTAATTAAACTCACAACTAAATAATTAAGTTTAGATCAAGCTATCCTCTGATTATCACATTATTATAGATTATCATTTTGAATATCTGGAACAGTCGTGGTTTGGAAGATAAGTATTAATACTGAGGGAAATGAGATATTGGGCCGCGACTGGATTCGAATCAGCGACCACCGGGTTTCCGGCCCAATGCACGACCAACTGAGCTACGAGGTCAGACTGTTGACTAGATTTTTATTTCGCTTCAATCACCAAGGGTTTTACCTGATTACCATATGAATTCGTGACACGTTATTATCACTTGCTAGAGGATATGGACGCAAACACATGGGTGCTGGTTCGAATCCAACCATGGTCCAAATTTTTATTTCACTTTCAATCATCACCTAATATCAGTACTAGTCTGTCAAACCACGGCTATCTCAGATGATAATTAATATGATGCTACACCTCTTATTTAGTTACATTTGGATTGGGATGAGAAGTGCTTATTGGATAGCCAGTGTGAGTACGATCAAGCGACGGTAACGCGTCACGAATTCATATGGTAGTCGGGCAAAACCTTTGGTGATTGAAGTAAAATAAAAATCTGGCCAGCAGTCTGACCTCGTAGCTCAGTTGGTAGAGCACCGGGCTGGAAACCTGGTGGTTGCTAACTGGAATCCAGCCACGGTCAAAACTTCCAATACACATATACTACATAGATTGGTGTTTAGAATTCGACTTAGAAATTGGAAATTACAAGTCAAATGGTAGCTCATGTTAAGACATGAATCCTTTCATTATCTTACAATATGTGCAGCGGGCATGAATTACCGATGATGCTGAAGTTTGGCTTTCCACGGTCCCTATATTATTTCGTTTTACGTATGTCAAGTATTAAAGTGGAACGCGGTCAATTTGCGTAACACTCATGAAAATGTGGAGGTTATTTTGTCTCATTGTGCGAAAAAAGCACTCAAGTAAGTGTTGAATTACCATCAAAATGAACGAAAGAGCACCAATCAGTCTTTAAATGTCTGTGGTAGCTGGCTGGGCATGTAGTCTAAACAAGACCTAACAGGTTTTGCTACAATTGTCCGAAATACAGAGTTACCGAATGGGGGATAATAGTCAGAACTAAACAGTCAATTACACAACGTATGTCTTGAGCAAGATTCATGTAGTTCTACCTTTTGGTAATACATTTGCAAGAAATCGAAGTGGTCTATACGAAATTCACTGGTCTGTTTCAGCTACTTTCTGTTAACTGGCATGGAGTCATAGAGAACCGCTGAAGTCAAATAACACCAGGTAGTATTTCCATTTTGCTGCGATTTGTGACAGTGGTCACAACCTAAAACCTCCTATGATGTTATACTAACAACTCCATATTTAGGAAGTAAGCTTGTTTTTTTTCAGCCATTCAGCTTGGATTAGGGGTGGGGCTGGAACAGCTCACTGGTAACGTGGTTGAATACAAGGTTAGGTGACACGAGTTCGAGTCTCACAGGGAACCTGAGACCATATGAGAACGATAATTGTTGGATATATATTATCATTTTGACTGAGATAGCGGTGGTTTGGCAGACTAGTGTTGATACTGGGTGGTGGCTGAAGGTGAAGTGAACATTTGGACCGGGGTGCGATTCAGACCAGCGACCATCGGATTTCCGTCCCGATGCTCTACCAACTGAACTACGAGGTCAGACTGCTGGCTAGATTTTTATTTTACTTGAATCACCAAAGGTTTTGCCCGACTACCATGTGAATTCGAGACGCGTTACTGCCGCCTGATCATATTCACACTAGCTGCACAGTCAAAACTTCTCATCTTAATCCAAGTGTGACTGAATTAGAGAGCTTGAGCATCATATTGATCACCGTTTTGGCTTTCTGAGATACTACTCACTTGAATAGGGTTTTATTATTTGTATATAATTTATTTCAAAATTTACGTCGAAAGTATCAGCTATAAAGTTGTTACATGTGTGTTTAGTTGAAGCAGATTTGTATACGAAGCTGAATAGTGGTTACATGATAAGAAAAAACTGGCTATGCTTAGAAAACGAGAACTTTCGAATTCCAGTCTATAATTCGAATGATGGCATTCTGAATATAAGACCTGAATATTCAGATTGCTCGTATTGATGGATGATGAAAGGAAATTTCGCTGAGAACAAATACCAGCATGTCAAGGCATACCTAACACTTCTGAGTTTTAAGTAAATTTTAGATTGACGTAATAACTAACAATGAATTCGCCAGAAATTCAGATTGCAGCTAACCGTCATGTCACGCTTCATTACTCACTGAAAAATGGTTCCAGAAACAGAGGTTTTTGTTCGTTTGAAGCATGATAATCATTTTACTGACTTAAGCTTCTCCAAATATTATAACTGTCATGATACTGTATTGTAAATTGCCTAATGTGAAAAACTAACTTGGATGAAAACTGATACCTGATGACATCGCTTCCCATAATTAGAGAAACGCTTAGTCTTACAAAAAGCTAATCACATAAATGGTCACGGATAAAGCTTGTTATTGCTGAGAGGTTTTCCATATTTGTTATACTAAAATGAAAGTCTTTGACGGTGAATGCCTCCGTATTTATCAGAACTTTGAGAGCTACCAAGTTAAAATTACAGTTGTTTCCACTCCTTATAGTGATAGTGAAAAATGTCATCTTTAAGACTGTCAATTTCAAAAGGGTTAGTTAGTTATACATTGAAATTTTACCTTGATTTCCTTGTTCTGAAGTGTATCTTGTCCCATTGAAACAACCAGATCGGAGAGTTTGACTTTTATGACAAGGAAGTGGACAATCATGTTGTGGTGAGCGTAAACACTGTGTTAAACTGAAATGAGAATCAGGAAGCTTTTTCTTCAGTTTACTTCTTGGCAAATCGGTGGATGATGTACCAAAACTAATATGCCATTTTCTACTGCGTCTTTGTTGCTGTTGTCTAGAATTCTGATTCTGTAATTGAGCATGATGTGGATCGTTCAATGAATACTGTGCTTCATCTGGTCGTAATGAATGTTGTGTTTTAACACTACGACATCGAACTATGACAAACAGGATGAATATTAAAACGAGTGCTGCTAATGTTGCTATCACCATTGCAATTAATATTAACAAATCAGAAGAGAGTAATACACCTCCCCTATGGGACTGATTCGACTGGGAACTCCATAACTGGGAATTGTCGGTATTAGTGGGATGTGAAGATAACTTAAGTGCTTCCTCTGTTTCGTAGTCAATAATACTATTACCTTTTCCTTTCTGATTTTTTTGATCATAGGATTTCACTCGAGATTTTTGTGGTCTATTTACTAATTGTGAAGATATGAATGGTTTCTGGATAAAAATATCCAAAACAGATGATGAAGATTTTGGCGGAACACCGTGATCCATCGCCTGAACATATAAACGAAACATTGAGGCTGTTATAGAATGCCAATTTTTTAAATTGTTTTGTTGTCGCCTGTTATTCTTATTGTTATCGTTTTCATGAGATGATGTTGTAGACGAATATGTTGGAATTGGTTGGGCCAAATAGAGCCATCCGCTTTCAGAGTCCAATTCAAACTGTCCACCTTCATTACCACTAAGTAGACTGTATGTTACTTTCCCTCGAAGACCTTCGTCTGGATCAGTGGCTATTAACTAGAGAGAAAAAAAAATCATTAAAGTTAAAAGACTGTCGCTTCTTATCAAGTCTAAAAATGCTTTGCATTGTCATATCTCATCAATCAGCGTACTATTTTTACGGTAGTCCACTAATGGAATCCAGACCCTTAGTTTGAAAAGTTTTCAAGATGTTTTTGGGATGTAAATGTACTAGGATTAATACTTAGTGGGATATTGAATAGCTACTTCTTACAATCCAAAAGATATCGTGATCACGGTTTCTATGTTGACATCATATTTAGATGCAAATTTAGTGCCTAAAAAACTTCATTATTCTCTCAGAGAAACATGTGGAATTTGACACCTCAGTTTCCATGCCTTCCTGCTTTAGAGTAATGTAAACACCTTTGATTAAATAATTACTCAATAAGTGTGTGTATTAGAAAATAATTTCCATCACGGACTTATATCAGTTGGAGAACCATTGAAAAGCTGGAAGAACTGGACGGCTGTTTCGTCCTAGTTCACAAATCTTCAACAGTGTACACTGACAACCACTTAAGGCGTCGGTCATAAGACCATGTAGTGTAACTGCAGGCACGTTACCGTCGAACCACTTCGTTGGGATCCAATGATTTCATCCTCTTTTTCAATTTACTATACATTAACTTGGTTTTTGAAGATTGTCTGCCACATACGTGAAAAATCGAAAAACATTGCATATTTTTTTTCATATTGTCCGACAAAACTTAACGATACTGTACAGTAATGATGGGTAGTGGCTAGTTATGGTATCCAGGATACGAGCGATAACACTTAACGTTATTGGTTTGAAGGAATATATGCTTGAAGTCAAGTTGCAATAACTCTCAGTTAGTTGTTACTATCCACCAGTGTATTGAGACCTATGTAATTACTTGCGATAATCGGAATATTATCGACGTTACACATCTTTTAGTGACCAATATCACGAAGTGTTTTCTCGTCTCCTAACTATTCACCAACTAACGAGAATTTTCTTGTACTGTTGGTGTAGGCTGCCTCGATATTCTGGGAGATGATTCTACTACGAATGCACTGAATTAGGTTTTTGAATATGGTAACGCATCTTATAGATTTAGACTGTACTGAAGATACACAATAAGTAGATCTCTTATCAAAAATTGTTCTGTGTCGAATAGTTATCCTAAATCACAAATATCAGCTCATTCTTTGGATAATAAACAGTAAACATAAGTCCAATGGAACACGTTTTACATAATATGAAATCTTTGTTATCACTAAATTAATTGTCAAGTTAGACGTGGGATCTTTTCATAAATCGACTATGTAATGCAGAGGAGAGGCAGTTGAAGTGACTGGTTCATAATTTAAGTATCTAAAATGATAGCAAATAATTATGGAGTAGTTCATACTTTTCAACAAATGGGACTGTCTTCTAGACAAAGGTTAAGTCCATGCCATTTGGATAGATATTAAATTATCATTTTGAATGTCTGAGATAGCTGCAGTTTGGGAGGCTTGTATCGTTGATACTGGGTGGTGATTTGAGGTGGGATTAAAATCTTAGACGCTACAGGTTTCAAACTAGCAGACTCCGGCGCTATACTAACTCAGACGCTTGACCCACCTGCTGATTAAAGTAAGATTAAGATCCAGTCAGAGGATGGGACTCGTCGCTCGATTGCTATGACACCAGGCTGGTGACCGGGCCGTCATCGGTTCGAATCCTGCTGTGGCTCACATTTTCATTTCACCCTCAATCATCACCAAGTATCAGTACAGGTCTATCAAATCATGATTACTTCAGATAGTCAAAATCACAATCATTATGTTGCAGGACAGGCGTTCATTAACCTGAAACCAGTGTGTAGATCTGCACTCAACATAAAGAACAAGATCCGAATTTTTAACACGTGTCAAGTCAGTGCTGTTATATGGTTCAGAGATTTGGCGCGTTACGAAAGGCATTTCCAGCAAACTGCAGACATTCGTCAACAACTGCCTATGCTGGCTCGTTACTGAAGCTCAGATAGATTGCCAGAAAGAGTAAGTGACGAGGAACTCTGGATTAGCAACGAACCAACCAAGAAGCTATCGCTAAACAAATATGTAGAAGAAAGTGGAGATGGGATTGGATTGGGCATACGCTGAGAAGACCATTCGGAGACATCTTGCGCCAGGTTAAGCCGTCGAGTGGAATTCAATGGGGAAATGACAAATTGGGCCTCCGAGAGTGTCGACATAGAGGAGATCGTGCGAGGAAGAAATTCCAGCTTGTAGGCTGCCATGGAGCCAGGTTCAAAAGATTGTAGAGAACAGAGTGGAATGGAGAAGTGCTACTGAAGCCCTACGTTCCACTAGGAACCCAAGGGACAAATGATAATAATAATAATACACAAAAAATAAAAAAAGTCACTAAACTAAAAGCCTTGGAATGGCTTCAGCGATTGCTATGCAGATAAAAGCCACAGAATTTAGGTTGTTCACATCTGAGTAATTCTATGCTCGACCAAATTTTACAATAATTAAAATCAGAGACAATAATTTAGTCGAAATATATTGAAATTACAGCAATAATGAGATCAGAATGACCAGTTTCAAAATGTGAAAACTTTTAAAAATTCTATCATTATCATTCAAAACTAGAAATAAATTTATCGTACTTTAAACCACTCGTTTTACTAGCACTGTTGTGTTTTCATTCTATCACGAATTTCTCAGGATTATTGTTTGTACACATTGCTGGAATCAACTCAGAAAACCTGATAGAGTGAATTGCATATTTGAAGAGAGGCTGTTACATTTTGTTTGAAAATATGATTTTCGAGCCTGTCTCAAAACGAAATACTAATACCTGTTTTTGTACTTCTAATGTTAACGGAAAAGGTAATTATTGACTAAAATGTAATGATATTTATTATTTTGAGACGATTTTGAAAGTCTGAGGATAATTTTATTTAGAATACTGTTTCGTTCAGAACTGTTTATGTGGGAAATCAATTAATAATGGGAGAGTGTAAAATTCATATCTTTGACTCATGTTGAATTGGTTAAATTTTCTTTCCTTAGTTTCAGATAATGTTTTTACCACCAGGAACCCAAAGACAAATAATAATAATATGTTGCTCCACCTCTGTAACCCACCTCATTTTGGATTAGGATGAGTAGTTCTCGCCGGGCAGCTATCGTGTATTTGATGAACAGACAGTAAGGTATCACGACTGTAGCCTACTGGTTTAGGGAGGCGACTACCAGCCACTAGGTCATGGGCTCGAGTCCCACTCCACCCAGTAAGGTTTAGGTAGCCAGGTAGTATCACTAGCCCTCGCACAATATGTGTGGCTCATTGACTTCTGCATGGATGTGCAGAAGGTGACTGAGTGCGCTGCATTGTGTCTATTGCCATCAATGTATAGAAGTTTTTAGCAATATTTATCTTTTGTTTATCGCAAATCAAAGTACATTTATCAATCGCTTTGACAAAGAGGTACTTCGTTTATTTTAAACCCATATTTATATTGTATGGTAAGTAAATACTGTAACCCTGTATGCTCACTTATCATTATCTCTTTTTGATAACTGTCTATCTGAATTTGTGAAAAAACAAGATAACTATACACCTACCTACGTGTTTCTGCCTCACATACATGTGCACAAATGAACATAAATCATTTTAAAAATAATACAGAGAAATTTATTTCATTTTTCCGTATCATTTTTCCTTACATGTCACTAATATAAGGTTTGCCAGAATAACATTTTTCGTTGACGTGATTATCTTAATTAATACCAATAGTAATAATACTTGAAGAGATAATTAATAAAAAACGGTGCAAAAAATTTGTTGTTTACCAGTCAACCGAAAAATATACTTTTTTCGGTTCAATGGAAAGTTAGCCTATGCTTGAAAATTGAAAAATAATCCTATTTTTCACCCCTTTTTTGTCATATTCAGTAAGGACAAAAATTATTTTTATTGGCATAAATATTGCTGTTATTTTCGATTTATTATTATTATTACTGTTCTTACTTAATCTTCCGCCCAAAACACAAACTCAATCGATTTCATAGTTCTAGTTCTAATCTAATAATGGTAATGATAATGATAAATGTTCATTCAGGTCGGTGATTAAAGCTAGTGTTATTCTCTGCTGTGTTATTACATTATGACTACGCAGACATGTAAACAAAAATACATGCTTGGTATATAAAATCTGTAAATTTACTATATGATTGCATGGATGTCGACATTTGAGGTTGTGTGTATGTGTGTGTGTGCGTGCAGGGAGCGTGAATCCATTTAGAGCTAACTAGCTATGAAAAGGGAAAGAAAGGTAAATTGAACCAAGAGCTGTGAACCTGATATCATGCTTGATGAAGTGTGAACAGAATTATTATTGGGTCAATTCTCTAAAGTTGTGCTCGGTCTTATTAAGAATTAGAATATAATGTATTAGGACATACTCACTGAGGATAAAATAATAGAAAAGTATTTCAAAGTATGTTTTTCACACTCAGATTGTTTATTTCCTTGCTTCAAATGGAGTATTTTTCTCAGTATATAAATCCGTTGTCCATTATGTAACAAAGACAATTAGCACCGCTTATCTTTTGAAATTCCTGAATAGTTTGAATTAAGTTGGTTTACCTTCATGAATGGAGTATAGATGAAAGTATATGCTCATCGATAATTTGATTTAATGGAGATAAGGGGGGATTTTCCTACATGGCTTTGATAAACTTCACTTGTCATGAGAAAAATAAACAATATATCATAAAGTGAAAAAATTTCACTTTCCATGTATCAGCAGCTTTACATTCCTTAAGAGATCTGATGGTTCTTGGTCCTGTCTACGGCTAGGTGGGGGCAGTGTACTGCTGAGGAGTCCCACAATATGACGAGACAGCTGTCCAGTGCACGAAGTTTTCCAGTGGTCCTCTGAATGTCAGTCCGTGATGAATGCTACTTTGAAATCAGTAAATACCGACAAGCCTCAAAATTAGGCGTTGTTTCAAGTGTTTTGTATGGCTGA